CTAAGTCCACATGGGAGAAGCACACCAGCTTGTGTGACCCAAAGAGACAATAACACAATTCAGCTATGACAAAGGGAAAAGTATCAGAACTCAAATTGTGAACACCCCACTTGTATTAGATTGTGGACCGATCTGTAGAGTGTCTAGTCAGAGGAAGGCACTGGCCAAGCCCCTCTAGCCACCGGCCAGGGCCTTGGCCAGCTTTAATGCCAGGTAGAGATCAGTCATCCTGATTTTGCCGGCTCAAACTTGATACTTGGTCAGTTGACCTCCTTCTTGACCCAGCCTGAAATTATTCTAGGTGCAAGTATTTTTTGCTTGTTCCATGACAAAAAATGTCTTCCCTAGCTTTTAAAATACTGATGGTGGTCTTTTCTTTCTTACTCATTACTTGTATTTTTATCTTTCTGTTATTATTATTTTATCCTCACCCCTTTATTTGGTTTTTTATTTTTATTGTGTCTGTTGGGTTTTTCAGTTTGTGAAGCACAAGAGGAGTAGTTGTATAGAGATAACAACTGATTCCAATGTGATCGGGGATGTAGGGGAAGGAGGTTGGAGATAGGGAGAGTGAGGGGGTTGGGGGAGCAAACAATGTACGTAGGAGGGGGTAGGAAGCACTAGAGCTGATTGTGATTACACAACTCATTTTAAGAGTGATTTCAACATGAAAAAAAGAAAATGTTCCAAAGTTGATTGTGTAATGATTGTACAACTTGTCACCTTCAAAGTCTCTCCATTACACTGAATACATTTGTCAAATCTGCAATTCCATTCTTGGAAACATTTTTCAAACTCATCTGTTTGGATGACTAACAGCACCTCCCTCATTTTTTCTCTTCACCTCTTCTACATTGTCAAATCACTGTCCTTTCAGTCACAGAAACAAGAAGTCACACAGAGCAAGGTCAGGTGAGCAAGTTGTGGGGGGCAAGGGAGGCATGCTGTTTTTTGCCAAAACTGGTGCACTGAGATGGCTGCGTGAGCAGGTGCATTGTCATGGTGGCAAAACCAGCCCCCCATCTGCCACAAAGTAGGTCTTTTTTGTCTCACACTGTTACACAATCTTTTCAGAACTTCTAAATAGGAAACTTGGTTAACAGTATGGCCCGGTGGAACGAACGCCAAATGCACTAAAAGTCAACAGTGTTGTCCATTCAGGAAGTTGACAGACAGAAGAAGGTTTGTCATCAATCGACATTTCACCTCTTTTGAAATGAGAAAACCACTCATACACTTGAGTTTTTCCTATAGCACTGTCCTTCTAAGCTGTGTTCAATATCACAACAGTTTCTGTGGCATTTTTTCCCGAGCAGCTAACAAAATTTCACAGCTGCAAGTTGTTCTCTTAAATCAGCCATCCCAAAATAGAGGTTTGAGTGAAACTGCTTCTATTTCAAAAAATTTACCATCACCAGAGAGAACCTTCCCAGATGCCACTGGGTGCACTAACTCAGAGCAAGTTGATCGTTGCTTGCCTGGCAGGAAAAATGCGGACTATGAAAGATCTGCTCCATCCAGTGTAATTCTGTTTTTATTTTTGTATTTTGCAGGGGCAGGTGGTACCTGCTCATATGTGTACATAGGTAGAAAGCAACAGAGGTAAATATTACTATATACATAATTCTGCAATAACAGTGACCTATGGGTTGATGCCCACACTGGTCTGTCAATTTGGCACACTTTGGTGGCTTTTATGTTGCTGCGATGCTGGAAACTTTGTCCCTGGAATGTCAAAGGTCACTCAAAGTGAAGAGGTTCCCGCAGAGCTTCCAGACTAAGATCAGACTATGAAGAAAGAATGGGTTCTCCACTTCGGAGGTATAAGCCATTGAAAACCTCACAGACCACAGCAGAGGAGAGTCAGAGACTGAAAACCCAATGAACACCAGGAGACCATTGTCAGAGGGAGTGCCAGAGGGTGAGCTCCTCAAGCCGAAGCCATCAAACTATGACTGGGAAAGAGTAGACTCAAAGTAGAGTCGACTATAAAGATGTGGGTGGAGTAAAGTCTCTAACGCCTCTTGTGCTGGCGGGCAATATAACGGATGGGCATTCTGTTCTAGATCCAGCAGACCGTGAAGGGTAATACAGAGCTAGGTTCTGCTCAGGGTCTCTCTTATACAAAAGGTCACACCCCCAAAGAGGAGTCATCAGGCGTCCATCTGATTGATAGGTTGAGTTCAGCTCCTACCTATACCCAGATGTGTGCGGTTGACATAAAATCTAACCATCAAGACCTTGCCTGCTGAAAGTGAGGAGGACTTGGAGCACTTGCTGATGAAGATCAAGGATGGCAGCCCTCAGGATGGATCATAACTCAACCCGAGTCCTCACAACATACACCTAATGGAATATTATGCATTGCTAAAAAGTAATGATGGAACCAGGGCGCACTCGGGGCTTGGATGGTTCTAGAGAACATTGGGCTGAGTGAAATCAGTCCGTCACAAAAGGCCAACTATTGTGGAGACCGCCGTGGGAAGAACTAAAAGGAAAGGAGGAAGAAAGGGAGGGGGCCGAGGAAGCGAGCAAAGACTGCTGCACGGAGCAGAAACAACAGACCAGGGTTGGCAGGCATTAACTTGGATGTAGCAGGAGATGGGAATCCACAAGTGAGTAAAGAGAAATCAAAGCAAGGCCGCAGGCCCAGCTAACGGGCAGGGCGTTGACAAGTCGTTTAAACTGCTGAATTCAAAATCTGAAGCTTAACACTTCCCCACCTCCCCAGTGCACAATAGAAAATTCGTTAAAAAAGAAACTTGATATGCCCTGTAAACCTTCACCCAATTCACAACAGAAAGCAAAAGAAAGAAAAGAAATTTGACAAAGATGCTAGAGGTGAATTAAGACCCCAGGTGGGGTGGCGGAAGCAATTGGATAGAGACCCACACAATTCAGTGGTCCTATTACCTGGCACATCACCCAGAAGTAGCTAGTTTTCCCGGAAGGTAGCATGCCAATATGCACGCTCAGTTAGAGTACCAGCTCGGAGAGGACGCACTAAGAGGCTGGAGTGCTGTCCCACAGGATGAGGTCTATGCCTTAAACCAGAGGTGGCAGTGTCTTCAGCCAAGAAGCACAGTCCGGGTAGTCTTAGTAATCACTGAAAGGAAGTTTATTCCTCAGGACCGCCACCTGGAACTTGACATCTGGAGAGGCTAGTGTCCCAGGAATGCATGCATCCATTAGAGAAATGGCAATAATGTGGAAATGGAAACTGTCCCCTGGCTGTCCTGGGCCCTCAAACTAAGTCCTTAAGCAAAGAAGGTGATCATTGTATTCAATAAGGTGATTGGGACTTGCCACTACCAAATAAAAGTCACAATCAGAGTAAGGGTTTGGGGAAGCAAGGTGAAAGCGGCTAGTGAGGATGGGGCTCACAGAGGGTCAGTCCATCTTGTCCAGGTTTGTTAGCCGAACTGTGGCATCCCAGAGGCGCTGGGCCACCCGGGGATCCTGAGCAGGTTTAGCAGGAAGAGTCACTATGCAGGAACTATTAAAATATTTTCCAGAAATGCCGTCCAGCTCTTGTGCCAAGCTCAGGTACAGGATTGGGACCGCGCCATGCTTGGGAGCCTGTGGAGACACGGAGTGGGAAGAGAACAAAAGGAGCCAGGCTTCAGCCTGCGGAGGCATGGGGCCCCACACCACCCTATCCAGGCGGAACTCTCTCCTCCCCACTCACCTTGAGGAAGAAACTCAAGAGCCAGAAGGGGAAGCGGTATTGCCAAGATAAGTTTCTCATGATGCTTGTGTATATAACACCTGGGTTCAACGAATTCACAGTCACACCTGAGAGGACGAGACACAAGTGTCAAGTGAAACAAGTTCCTACCGTGTGCAGTGAAGAACAGTTGGGGTGTGGGAGACCAGAGACTTTGAGGTGGTGCCAGGGCTTTCTAATTTACCCCAAAGGTGAGCTCCAAGCCAGTCAAGAGGGTAAGGTGCTTGAAAAAGCCAGAAGGACTTTACTAGGGATAGGACGGATGGTGTCGGTGGTGGGAGATCCTGGGAAGAAGCAACGCTTGTGGAGAATTCGAGAGGAGATGTGCCCACGGGGCTGAGAGAGATATAGGGCGCATCGATGATAAATGGAAGCGGGTAACAGCTGATATGGGGGGACAGAGGACTGTATAGCCGAATATGTTGGGAAGAGACGTCACAGATTAGGGTTGAGAGTGATGGGGCTTCCGTAGAAGGGAGGATGTCCTAGAGGCAGTTACCTGTCCCCTGAAGTCTTCGAGCGAGCTCCCCAGTAAACGTGGTCAGTAGCAGTTTGCTGCAGTCATAGTTCTGGTTAAAGGCCAAAGGTCCACCAGCCCCCGTGAGATGTTCCTCGTCAATGTACCCGTAGTTTTGCCGATAGGAAGACACATTCACCACCCGGGCTGACCCTGCCCTCTCTAGGGCCCCTAGATGGAAAAAAGGACCCAAACAATAACAACTGCAGACTAACCGTTGCAACAGAGCTGATGCTGACGCACGGTGACCCCACGTGTTTCAGATTAAAATGGCACCTGTGACTTCTCACAAGCATTTCTCCAGGCCTTCAGCCAAGGTGCTCCTGGATCGGTTTGAATGGAACCATCACTCCTCCAGTTTGTAGCGGAATGCTACATCATTTGTGCCATCCAGAGGCTCCAGAGAGTGGGCTGGAGTCCTTGCATCAAGTCCTGGCATGAACGCTCTTGCCATTTTCTAGCCTACTTCCCCCGGGCTAGGCACAAGAGCGTCCAATGTTTCCCAGTGTGATTCAGCCCTTTGTATTTTAAGGGCAAGACTTTGTCTTGCTCTTTTCCCCCCCAATTAAGACTTTATTTCATTCATATCAGAAATAACAAGTGCAACTTGAATATACAAATTCTGAACAAAAAACTAAAAAAGGAAACGTTCTCGACAAAAACATCATTAACAGATGCGTGCAAAGAAATGAACGGGTGGGGAGCCATTGGAGGGGCCTGAGGGCTCGGCCCCCTGACCAGCTAAGTGGACAACTGCCCTTCCCCCCAGAAGAATTTACTTGAGAGGACAGCACTGAAGCTGCAGCTAGGGGAGAGGGGCATGTCTGATCAGAGCACATGGGAGCAAATGAAGGGGGAGGAAGAGAGAGTGGAGCACATCCTGGCCCACCAAGCCTGGA